AGTAATAGAAAGGAGGTCACATTAAAATAATGACTGTCTCAAAAAAGACCAAAATCAACCAATCAATCAATCAAAAAATATTTCAAAAGAATTGGGGCTAGAGAGATGGCTCAGCAGTTAAGAGCACTGGCTGCTCTTACAGAGGACCCTGTTTAGATTTCCAGCACTCACATGGTGGCTAACAACCATTTGTAACTCCAATTCCAGGGGATCTGATGCTGTCTTCTGGCCTCTGTGGGCATTGCATGCATGGGTACACTCACATGCAGGAAAAATACTCATACACATAAAATAAAAATGAATAAATAAATAGTATTTAAAAATTTTCAAGAGCGAGATGGCAAAAAAAAAAAAAATCCCAGTGTGCCATCCTATGTCATTTCAGCTCAGGCCATAAACCCTGGCTAAGTAATGTATCAGATGAGGGTTGTGCTTCTCACACCTGGATGCATAGCAGAATTATCTGGGATTTCAAAAAGTATGTATATATGATATAAATATATAGTTTATGTGTATAGATAGCACACACATACATATGCAAGTTGGCTTCTCCTAGGGAACCTCTGGAATTCATGAAGTGGGCCTGGACCTTCAGTAGGTCTGGCTCCCCAAGAAGGCCTATCAGGTTAGAAGACCCTTGAGGCTCCAATGATTTTTCAGAGCCTGAGTGTTGGAGTAGGACCTTTGCTTCTGCTTTTCTTGAATAATCAGCCTTTGAAAGAACTAATTTGGTTCAGGAATTCCCAGAGCCAAACTAAGAACCAGAACCACCCCCACAAACCCAGACCCTCTTAGGCCTAGCAGAGTGTCAGCCACAATGGACCCAGAATCATCCTGCCCTAGGGCCACCTAGAGAAATAAGTCCCATATAGGAAAAGCTCCCAGATAGAATTGTCATTCTGGACAGCCACCAGAATAACTTTTGCCTGTAGCACATAACCCCAACTGTCTCTGCAGACCCCACAGACCTAATAGAGACTGACTGCTTATGCAGGGTCGTTCAAATCCACCGCTCTGATCCGTAAGCCTCTTTCTTGACTTCCTGTTGCACTTTTGTTTTTACCACACATTGGAACATTTTATTGTATTTTTTGTCTGGGTTTGTTTCCCAGTAAGGTTATAAACTCATTGAGGATGGGGTAAATCTTTTAAACTGTCACAGTCCATAGCAAAATTAAATGCTGTCCTTGACCCTTTACATTCTGCCTCTTGAAAAGTTTAGTATCCACCCACCTTTTTCACTGCCCGCCCTCCCCAGATAATTTAGAGAACTCTCTTAGGGGCTCAAAAATTCCTGACTCCTAACTCTAGTCTGTACCATTCCTTTCCACCAGTGTGGTTAGGCCACTATTGCTTATCAAAAATTAGTCTAGGGGCTGAAGAGATGGCTCAGTGGTTAAGAGCACTGGCTATTCCTGCAGGCGACTGAGTTCAATTCTCAGCACCTACGTGGTGGCTCACAGCCATCTGTAACTACAGCTCCAGGGAATTTGATGCCTTCTGGCTTCCATGGGCATTACATTCACACAGTGAACTTATATACGTGAAAGCAAAGCACTCATACACATAAAGAAATAAAAAATTGGTCTGGAACCCAAAGGTAAATGAAGCAGCCTGGCCACTGAAGAGCTCACAGTCAAGTAGAAGGGATGGATGATTTTGTGAATCTGGGAAACCCTGATAAGTTCTGCGCCAGGTGCCAGGGTGTCCCATAGCAAGCTGCTAAGGAAATGCTCTTGTAGGGAATGCTGATGCCAAGCCCAAAGTGGGGCCTGTGAACTAAAGCTAGAAAATGATGGAAGGCACTAAGAAAGAGGAGACGGTGTGAGAAAGTTGTTTCAGTTCTTCAGCAACTTTACTGAGCACCTTGCCATGACAATCCAGGAGATTTCCCAGCAGGGCAGGGGAAGCATTCACACAAGTCTAGTGGTGAGTTAGAGGGTCAAGATGGTATCTGCATAGCTCCAGTGCTGCCAGACTGAAGATAACAATTTGAGAACCTTTGGAGCAGTGAACAGATGGATTTGGGGTTAGGAACAGACTTCCAAAGACAGGATGAATGGAAAGCTACCTCTGTCTAACTGGGGGAACTTAGTGAAAGATAAGACTGGAGAGGTGAGGTCTGTTTACAAGTTGCTCAGGGCAGTGAGCCCAAGCACAGTCAAAATTACCCTGGGAAATCTCTGAAATTGCCAGGTCCTGAGTCTTTAGAAACTCCCAAGATAGTAATTTTTGTTTCTCTTGGCTTTTAAGCCCTGTCTGGGTTCCCTTCCCCCAAGCAATGAAGGAAAAGACTTTTTTTTTTTTTGAGACAGGGTCTCCTTGTAGCCCCAGCTGTCCTGGAACTCACTATGTAGACCAGGCTGGCCTTGAACTCAGAGAGATCCGCCTGCCTCTGCCTCCCGAGTGCTGGGACTAAAGGCGGGTGCCACCAAGCCTGGAAACAAGACTTATTTTTAAAAGGAGGAAGAACTAGAAATAAATAACAGTTTTTCTCTCGTGATTTTTATGCCAGAAGGAAAGTTCATATAAGTGAAAGGAGTTCCATTAGATAGCTCTGCTTAGGGTCAAAGATGGAAGCCTGACAGGAGCCAGCCCAGGCAGTACTGAGCTGAACCTTGCTTTACAGCAGTGCTCATACCCGCCTGGACTAGAGACCTTCTCGGCATCTTGGTCAAAGGTAGATTCTCATTCAGCAGGTCTAGGGTAGGGTGCAAGGACTGGCATTTCTAACCAAATACTGCATGTACAGCCCCAGTGATGCTGAATTGGGGGTGACAGTTTGAGAACCTTTGGAGCAGTGAATGAATGGGTTGGGAGTTGAACAGACTTCTAAAGACCGGTGAGTGCACAGCTGCCACTGCTCCTAGCCTGGGAAGCATAGTGAGAGATAAAGTTGGAGAGGCAAGATCTGTTTAAGAGTTGGGTAAGAGCCGGGTATGGTGGCGCACCCCTTTAATTCCAGTCCTTGGGAGGCAGAGGCAGGCAGAGCTCTGTGAGTTCAGTCTAGCCTGGTCTACAGAGTGAGTTCCATGCCAGCTGGGGCTACAGAGAGACCCGGTTTAAAAAAAAAAAAAAAAAAAAAGACCAAGAGTTGGGTAAGTAGTAGAAAGGGGGTAGCATTAAAATAATGGCTGTCAGAGCCAGAGATATAGCTCAGCTGGTAGAGTGTTTACCTAGCATGCAAACACTCTACCAAGGACTGCATCCTGGTTCCATCCCTAGTGCTGCATAAAAATCAGGTGTGGTAGTGCATGACCTGTAATCCCAGCACTCTGGAGGTGGCAGCAGGGGAATCAGAAGTTCAAGGTCACCCTTCACTACATATCAAGCTGGAGGTAGTTGTGGGGCATGGACAATGGCTGCCTCCAGAGTACCAGAAGTGGGCTGATACATTCTTACTGCACAGATGCTCCTACATATTAAACCTGAGGAAATAGTTTTCATTCAGTACACAGTCCTCTGTTTCTGATACTTAGTTTTCTTTTTTAGTTTTTGAAAATTTCTTTATATTTTATGTATGTGCATGTCTTACCTGTATAAATGCCCATGGAGGCTAGAGGGGACGTCACAGCCCCTGAACTGGAGTTACAAATAGTTGCTAGCCACCATGTGGGTGCTAGAAACCAAGCTTGGGTCCTCTGTAAGAGCAGCCAGTGATTCTAACCACTGAGCAATCTTCCAATTGCTCTCTCTTTTCTTAACAGTGAGTGACAAAGCACACTGATACTGGGCTTCAGTGTGGAGTGGTGGATAGTAGGGTGCTCAGAAGGGGCAGGATGCCTTTGCTCAACACCAACTGTTTGAATGCAGGAACATTTTTGGCCTAGAGTGGCCAAAAAAATCCCTAGAATCCCAAGTGGTCTGTGCAAAGCATCCCAACCTTTAAATATTGAGCACTAACTCACAAATGTTTCCAACACTGTCAGTGCTAAACAGTTCAAGTTTGCAAGACAAATACAATCACGGGTGCCTTATTTACAACTGCTGACTTGAAATCAAACCATGGCTGTCCAGGCCTGCTGTTAGATGCTGAGTATAGCAGTGTTGGGATAGATGCAGGGGAAAGGTCAGAGGCCGCAAGGCCTTGTGGGAGGTTCCATGAATAAGCTAGAGGGAAGGAAGAGCCTGGCCACATTGAGGAGGGAGAGCTGAGGAATGAGTGATATCGGGAGATGAGATGGAATAACCCCACAGGTTTATAACAAGGATGACTGGGGGCTGGTGAATGCTGGATCTGAAGTTTGTTTATGAGAAGGTTCTAGACAAGTAGAACTGAGCTGCCTTTCATTCAGCCAGCAGGCCATAGGAATAGGGACTGAAAAGGCAGCGGAGAGGCAAAGGTTAGATGGCTTTCTAGAGCATAAATCTGGTCAGGTTACTGTCTGCTTAAAATTCTCAGTGGCTTCCCATTGACTAAATAGAAAATCCAGACTCTCCTCAGGGTAAACAAAGCCCTTCCAGACCTGCCCCTGCCAGTCTCAATGCACCATGCACTATGCGTCAATACAGAAACCTGCTCCCTGGGCCTGCTGAGCCACTCAGCTCCTGGAATAACCCATGCCTTTGTACTTGCCAGTTCTTGGGCTACTGTACCCTTCCACCCCATTCCTCAGAATGTTCGGAAAATTCCTACTCTTGTTAGGTTCCAACATCTCTTCTCTGAAATCTTCACAGCTCTGCCAAGCTGAAGAGATCATGCTCTTATTTGTGCCATCCTTTAATTTTATGCCTTCCTCAGCTGCCGATCTCTCCCCACTGAGATTTGCCTGTCTAAACTCCTGAAGGCAGAGACCCTACTTAGAACTCTGTATCAGTCATCAGCTCCTAGAGCTTGCCCAGGTATAGTAGACACTAATTAAATGCCTGAGGAGTGAACATGAGCCTCTTCTCTAGGTGAACCACAAGGTTACTGTAAGGGAAATGCTTTTCATGTCCCCAGGGCTGGAGAATAGCTGGAGACTCCCATGCTAACGTCACCTCTTTCTGTTTCTTTGCAGCTGGGGTATGGCCGTCAATGTGTACTCCACATCCGTGACCAGTGAAAATCTGAGTCGCCATGATATGCTTGCATGGGTCAATGATTCCCTGCACCTCAACTATACCAAGATAGAACAGCTCTGTTCAGGTAGGAGGCTGGGATAGGGACTGGCCCAACGGAAAGGAAGGGAAAGCGGAACAGGTCCCAGGTCATGCAATTTATAATTAATATGAAGACACAAATGGGAAGAGCTCATGTTATGTACAATGCTTAGTGTTGAAGGCAGGAAACAGAAGCCGGAAAAGTAAAGAGCTGGGGAGACATTCCTGATCAGAGCCAGGACAGGCAGTGAAACCATAAGTTAACAGCATGAGGCCCCATGTAACCACTCCGTGTCTGACTCTTATCTCTCCTGCCACTACAGTCCTGGGAGTTCGCCAGCTCTCTAGGTCTGTTTTCCATTCATTTGGTGGCGATGCCATAACCTGTGTACCTAGGGTGGTCATAGGGCTAACCTGTATATGGAAGTGTTTACACTTGTACTGGGACATGATTTGTGTCAAGAAGTAGTCATTTGGAAGGGAATGGAGAGATGACTCGATGGTTAAGAGCATGGCTGCTCTAGCAGAGGGCCTGGGTTTGGTTCCCAGCACCCACACTGCACCTTACAGAGGTCTGTAACTCCTGTTCCAGGGGATCCAACGTTCCCTTCTGGCCTTTGAGGGCATTATTTGTACATGGTGCAGTTGGTAAAAACACATAAATAAAAAATAGATTTTTAGAAAACAAATAATGATTTTGGGGCTGGGCATGTTAACAGCACCTGTTCAGCGGGTTCAATCCTTAGCACCTCCCAAGAATAAATGCTAAATAGTAGTCAAGCTTATTCTTGGAAAGCCATAGGGAATCTAACTATATCTAAACATCAAAGCAGGATTGACCCCAGCCCCAGACAAGGAAGAAGAGAGGTCTGGGCTTGAGGAGTAGACCAGTAGGGGGCCTGGGTAGTGGCCTACCACCCCTCCATCAGCAATGCCTCTCCTCAGGGGCAGCCTACTGCCAGTTCATGGACATGCTCTTCCCTGGCTGTGTGCACTTGAGGAAGGTCAAGTTCCAGGCCAAACTAGAACACGAATACATCCACAACTTCAAGGTGCTGCAAGCAGCTTTCAAGAAGATGGGTGTTGACAAAGTAGGTATCTGTACCCTGGGGGTCCATGAGAAGCTGTGTGTCCCTGGGGAAGAAGATGACCCACCAGCCAGGGTGACAAGGGCTACTTGTGTCATTTCCAGCACATGTCTTTCTACCCTTGATTCCCCAAAGGAAATGCTACCCACCTAGCTCAAGGCACAAGTGGATACCTATAACCCCTGACATCCCACCATGACAACATTCCCTTCCTCTTCTCTGCTGACCCTTCCCACTCCAAATGTTGAGGTTTTGTGTGTTACTCCTGTTACATCTCTTCTTAGCCCCCCCCCTGAAAATTTCTGCTTACTGTCCTGCCTCAGTGGTCCCAGGACTGTGGATCTGGAGCCTCTAGCTCACATGCAGGCAATAGGGCCACCTCCCCACACAAGCCTTCACCTGCCTGCTAGGTCTGCTAGCCTGCCTGTCTGCTCTGGTACCATGGGAGGGGGGCAGATGGAGAAAGTAGACAATGCTGCAGCCCAGGGGCTGGCTTTCCCGAGAGCAGTGGCCCTCTCACAAGGAAAGGCTGTTCTACACAGCAGGTGGTTAAAGTGATCTGCTTATGTGGTCTATTTCAGATCATTCCTGTAGAGAAATTAGTGAAAGGAAAATTCCAAGATAATTTTGAGTTTATTCAGTGGTTTAAGAAATTCTTTGACGCAAACTATGATGGAAAGGATTACAACCCTCTGCTGGCGCGGCAGGGCCAGGACGTAGCACCACCTCCTAACCCAGGTGATCAGATCTTCAACAAATCCAAGAAACTCATTGGCACAGCAGGTAACATGCCCAAGCCGGTGGAGGGAGTTTGGGGGGCTGGGCCGGCAGGGCTCTCCAGCCAGGAGTGCCCCCTGGGCCACCCGCCTAGCCCTGCCAGCCTGGAGGAGACTGTTATCACGGAGTTCAGATGACATCACCTGCTGCCTGCCTAGATGGGGAGTCCCAGCTGGGGTGAAAGGGCTCCAAAACTTGCTCTAAGAGGAGAGCCACCAATACCAGCCATGGTAGCAGCTGGCTGAGGCCCGGGTACTTTGTTTTACAACATGAACTAACTTATTTGCTTCAGATTGGATGGGCATGGTTCCTCCATCCAAATCCATCAGGCCAAGGGCCTGGAACCAGTACCACAGCCCTTTCTTTGTCCCTGCTCATTGGATACCCAGGGCTGGAGTTTACCAAGCTTGATCCTATCTTCCCCTGTACTAAAGGCTCATAGTCCAAAGTCTTCGAGAGATGCATTTCTAGAAATGAGACTTTGTTGGGTGGATTGCTAGGGACATTGAGAGAAGCAGTAGGGCCTGTGAAGACAACACAGTTAGGCAGAGGAAGAGGGGAGCAGTCCCTACCTGCATCTGACCCGTCATAGCAGAGCCACCTCCTCTGTTTGCGCTGCTGTCATGCCTGGGCCTGTCCCCACTGAACTGCTTGCTTTGCATTAGAAGCAACCGCTGTCTAGGGAGGTGCAGTTGCTAGAGAGCAAGTAGCCACAGCATGCAGGCTGTGCTAGGGAGAATCCCGGTTCCTGAGGTGGCCACTGCTGCACAGATACTTGATCCAGCCCAGCAGAGGGCAACAGAGATCATAAGAGGGAGCTGGAGGGGTGGGGCCAGGTTTCACTGAGGTTAGCTTTGGCTGGGATTTCTGTTAGGACCAGCCTGCAGCAGCTGCTTTCTTGGGTCTCTAGCTATCAGTACAGAGGGCCCTGAACCCTCCCAACCCCACTTTATCAAATTCACCATCCCAGTGTCCTATGTGTCTTCCTCAGGCCAGCTTTCCCCAGACTCCTACTGAGTTCACCTTTCCTATGGTCCCTGCACTCCCAGGCTTGCCAAAGGGCTGGCTGACCAGTTGCTATAATGTCATGTGTGGCCGAGGCTTGAGGCCTAAATATAGATGCTCTTCCTGAGTGGGGAGTGCCTGCCTGTGCATGGTCCTCACACCAGGCTTTCTTCTACCATGTGGCCTCATCTAACTTCTCCTCTGGACAGTTCCACAGAGGACATCCCCCACAGGCCCCAAAAACATGCAGACCTCTGGCCGACTCAGTAATGTGGCCCCACCCTGCATCCTCCGGAAGAATCCTCCATCAGCCCGGAATGGCGGCCATGAGGCTGATGCCCAGATACTTGAGCTCAACCAACAGGTCAGTGGGTGGAAAAGGAAAATGAGATTGCCCTGAGCAAACCCAGGCCCTTGGGGACAAGAGTAGGGCAAGCAGGGCTTCTGAGGCAAGAGCACCAGGCTAGAGCATTACTTTCTGCCCAAGCAGCTGCTGGACTTGAAGCTGACAGTTGATGGGTTGGAGAAAGAGCGAGACTTCTATTTCAGCAAACTGCGTGACATTGAGCTCATCTGCCAGGAGCACGAAAGTGAAAACAGCCCTGTTATCTCTGGCATCATCAGCATTCTCTATGCTACTGAGGTGAGCTGTCACTTTGCTGCTGCAGATGTACTGGGCCCTCTGGCCTGTGCTAAGTAAGACTGGAAACATGGCAGGACTGGAAGGGACCTAGGAGAACATTTTCTAATGAGGAGAATGTCACCAGACCAGGGTAACACTGTTAGCTTTTAGCAGGGAAGCAGGGTAGAAAACGGGGTGGGAGGCAGGGCATGGGACTCGGGGCCCTTGTTTCTGGGCTATGTGTGGAACCTGATTACCTCTGCTAAGCCAGCTGGCTCACCATTTCCCTTTCCTCCCCAACAGGAGGGATTTGCACCCCCAGAGGACGATGAGATTGAAGAACATCAACAGGAAGATCAGGACGAGTACTGAGGGTGGTACCAGCCCTGGCTGACTGTGTGGCTTCCCATGCCTCCCCTCCCTATGTCCACCCCCACATTATAGTCCTCTCCTTACAGCCAGTCAGCCAGCCTGGTGCTTTGTGTCAGTGCTGCAGCATTGGGAAGCTGGGCGAGCAGGGCTTGGGAGGTTGGGGCAGGTGAGAGGACAAGGGCCTGTCTGGGTCCTCCAAGTGGCACTGGCCCAGGGGGCATCCAGGACCCCTGCCAACTTCCTACCCCTATTTATTTCCGTTGTCTCTATGCTGTGTTGGCCAACACTTTCCAGGGGGCTGCTGCCACCCAACAGCCAGCCGCCTGCTCCCCTGACAGCCAGCAGCTGTATATTTGACAAAGTCATTGGTATATTTTTACTTACTGGATTGTCCTTGCACTTTACCTGTTCTTTTCCAGGGCTGACAGCAGGACTTGGGAAGTCTTCCTGGCTTGGCTCCCCTTCCGTATAGCCAAGGCTAGGGCAGGACTCACCAATTCTTTTTTATTTTATCTTTTGAATTCCCTCCCAGTCATTGAGGGGAAGGCTAATATGAGGAGAGTTGGGGAGGGCCGAGGAGGCAGTGCTGTGGTTATGGGGATCAGGGAGAGGGGGGAGCATGTGAGGGACAGAAATGACCTCCTGGCACTGGGCTCACCCACCCAAGACCTGCCCCAGCACCAAGGCCCAACACTGTCCCAAGGCTCCCTGTCTACTCCCTCCTGAAGCCTGTTCATACCACAGAGACTCTGCCTGGCCCCCACTGTCTGTCCTCCATCTCTCCCCCCACCTCCCCAACCTCTGCCCCTTGGGCACCAGCCTGCATATGTGTTCACTTTTATTTAAATAAATTCATGTGGTAAAAGTCCATGTCATGTCTCCCTCAACTGAGCCACAGCTAGGGATCAGATGTCACCTTCTGTCTTCTCTCTCCAGAGAAGGCTGTACAACATGGCCTTGGGTCATCAGAAGCTACCTTGGACACTAGGCTCTGACCCAGGCCTATGTCTCAAGACTGGTTTTGTGCTCTTAAGGCAGGTGTTGGGTGGCTTTTGGGAGGAAATATAAGATTAATATTTCCCAAACTGGCATAGCCCCAACAGCCCAAATGCTCATGCAAGTTGATCTCAATGAGCAAAATCCCTTACTAGGAATTACTTAAGGTCAGTGGATGACAAAACACTCCCCCCCACACACCTCTACCAAGCATTTATTTATATAGCTCTTATATCTAGAGCAGAATTGATATGAACCTAGTATTAAAGCACTAGCGGTGACTGCAAGCTCAGACAACATAAGGCACAGACAAAACTAGACTTTGAGCACATTATGTTTATATGTACTCCATTCTTGCCCTTATCAGGGACTGAGTTAGTTCCAGAAAACACTGTCCAACTATGGGAAGGATGGGTTGTTTTACTGCCATAGAACCACTAAGTGGTAGCTTGCTGCAAGATAGGGTTACTCTGCTGGGATTTGGAAATGGCTCTAAGAATGGGCAGCCCAGAAAGTGGCTCTAGAATGATGGAGAGCACCTGTCCAAAGAGTGCTTTGTCCCAGTCTCCTTTAAGCCAGTTGGACTGCATGATGACCCTCTACTCCTGTCAAGCTCACTGGTCTCACAGCAGCAGTGTAATGAACAAAAAAACTGAGTGCTGAGGCATAGGACATCAGTGTCTTAAGTGAGTCCTCTTTTTTATTTCTTTATAATTTGTGTGTGTGTGTGTGTGTGTGTCTGTGTCTGTGTCTGTGTATCTGTGTACACTAGGGGTGAAACCCAGCATTTTGTGTACACTAGGCAAGCACTGCAGCACTGAGCTATACCCCAGGCCCCAAGTGTTTCCTTCTATAGCTGTAATCTGGAACCCTTCCATGTCATCCACACAGCCCTATGCTCCTGGAATGTGTTTGTCAAAGGGTCAAAATAAGGCCCTGGAAACCCAACAAAGACCAAGAGTGATGTAAATATGAGCCCCTTGAGGTCACCTAGACCAGCCCATCATCTACTGATGAAAGGTCTGGGGCCCATGGGTGACAAGACTTACTCAAGGTAGTAGAAACTTTGATTAGAATTCAGACTTGACTGACAATTCCGTGCTCATCCCAAGAGACCCCCAATTGGGACCCCCAGAGCTCCCCTAGTTTCAGTCTGCTCACCATCCTAGTGCAACCAAGATGCGCTTGGGGCTGTATCTCTTGTGGTCCTGCCTCATGGCCTGCCTTTCTCTAATGATTCTAGACACAAGTAATCTTCTGCTTGTTTGTTTATTTTAAGACAGTCTCTTATAGCTCAATCTGGCAGTGACCTCCTAATCCTCCTGTCTCTACCTCCCAAATACTGGATTATAAATATGCACCACCACCTTACTAGTCGTAAATAAGCAATTCACGTCTGCTCATCCCTCTACCTCCTTTTGACTCCCACCTTTACAGACAATTCTAGCCTTCTGTTTTTCTCTTCCAGCAAGTTCCTTGTGTACTTTTACTTACCTTGATTTTTTTATATTTTACTTATTTTTATTTTATGTGTATGTGTGTATTGCCTGCGTGTAGGTAAGTGCACACATGTCGTGCATTGCCCGCGGAGGATAGAAGAGGCTGTCGGATCCCCTGGAACTGGAGTTACAGACAGATGTTAGCTGCCATGTGGGTGCTGGGACTTGAACTTGGGTCTTCTGCAAGAACAGTCAGTGTTCTTTACTGCTGAGCCAGCTCTCCAGCCCCTATCCCGATTTTTTAAAGTAGGATTTTGGTTATATTTATTTTACTTGTACTCCATCCTGGAGTTAAGGATGGTTGTTAGTCACCATGTGGGTGCTGGTAACTAAATCTGGGCCATCTGAAAGAATAATCAGTGCTCTTAACTGCTGTTAAGCCATCTCTTCAGCCCCCTAGCCTTTGAATATCAAGCAAAGGGATTAAAAATCAAGATAAAGGGCCAGAGAGTGGTTCAACAGTTAAGAGCAATTTCTCTTCCAGAAGACCCAGGTTTGGTTCCCAGCACTCACATGGTGACTGATACCTGTCAGTAACTCCAGTTCCAGGGGATTTGACGCCCTCTTCTGGCTTCCTCTAGCACCAGCCTCACACATGGTACACTTACATACATGCAGGCAAAACACACACATAAAATTGAGCCGGGCGTGGTGGTGCACACCTTTAATCCCAGCACTCGGGAGGCAGAGGCAGGCAGATCTCTGTGAATTCAAGGCCAGCCTGGTCTACATAGTGAGTTCCAGAACAGCTGGGGCTACAGGGAGACCCCTGTCTCAAAAAAATAAATAAATAAATAAAATATTTTAAAAGATTTATTTTCAGAGGCTTCCCATGCATTATTCCAAATTGTAGAATTTAAACAAAGGACTGGATGTGGTGGCTCACGCCTTCTGTCCCAGTGCTCAGGAGGCAGAGGTAGGTATATCTCTGTGAGTTTGAGGCCAACCTGGTCTACATAGCGAATCCAGGCCAGCTGTGACTACAGGGAGACCTTGTCTCAAAAACATCAAAAAAAATTCTTTTTTAATTTTAAAACAAGAGGGACTGGAGAGGTCGCTTAGCAGTTAAGAGCACTGACTGCTCTTGCAGAGGACCCGGGATAGATTCCCAACACCCACATGGTGGCTCACAACTGTCTGTAACTCCAGTTCCAGGGGATCTGATGCCTTCTTCTGACCTCTGTGGGCATTGCACAACATGGGTGCACTTACACCCGTGTAAGTTCTACATGTAGGCAATATACTCATTCACATAAAATACATAAAATATATACAAAAAATTCTTTAAAGAATTCCACTCATAACCAAAAAAGGAGAGATGCTATGCCATAGTCCTGAAACTATGTAAGGACACATGACGAAAGGGAACTAAGGTTGCAGATGAAATTTGCTACTCCACAGACCTTAATACAGAAATATATCCTGAGCAGGGGTCAGTATAACAAGAACAAGATATGAAGGTAGAAGAGGTCAGTCATAAAAATGTGATACTCAGCCAGCTGTTGCTGGCTTTGAAGATAAGTGGGCCATAAGCTAGGGAATGCAGGAAGCCTAAAGAAGCTGGGAAAGACAAGAAAATGCCTTTTCCCCTACAGCCTCCAGAAAGAAACACAGCCCTAGAGGCACCTTTAGTCCAGGGAGATTCCAAATCAGCTCTGTCCTACACAACTAGGTAAAAGTTACTAGATTTGTTGAGAATTGTTCCAGAAACAATAGGTGGCAGAGAGCAACCAGTGCTCAATGATTTCATCCTTTTTGCCCCTATACTGGACACATACCTGACCACTGGTATGAGTACCCACCCAAGCCCACTTCCAAGGATACTGTGCTTTGAACATCCAGAGTGCAGGTATTTAAAAGCCACTTATTCTACCATGTCTCCCTAGTACTTCACACAAGTGTGTCTTTCCTCTGGAACACCTAAGATGGTGAACCTAATTTTCTGTTTATACATTTGTCTTCCATCAAGTTCCATGTAAACAAGTGAGGTAAATCCCTCAGCACCTCCCAGCACAGGCTTGACAGAGAAAATGCTTAGGAAATGTAACTGGATAAAGAACTGAGTTACTTCTCCTACATGCTATGTTACAACAGATAAATTGCCAGATTGTTCCAGTGAAAAAGAAAAGAAACCCCTTCCCTCATTCTGTGTGTCTCCACTAGGGAGCTGCCCCTCCCTTTGCCTCTATGGAAATCCAAAATAGGGCCTCTTCTGTGATCATACATTGTGATAGGATCAAACAAAAGTTTTGTTGGTCTCTGAGTAGAGCTAAACAGTGATCTGAAAAATGAACCAATTGATGTCAACTCAGATTTGTTCTTTGGCAAAAGCATTCCATTTTAGTACTCCCCGAAGCAAAGCCAGTCAAGGTCAGGCCTAAAAGGAATGGAGGACATCAGAAACAGGCCCCAAAGCTACCATCTCTCACCTGCTTTCTCCCTCAACCCATCCTTCACACACAGCCCCATGTTCCAGTCCAGAAAAAAAGGGGGAGATCATGCCACTTTCCCACTGGCTTTCTAGGTCACGAGATAAAGTCCAGATTTGGCAGCCAAGGCTGTCTGGCATATGGGCTCAAGATCCCTTTCCAACCTTATCAGCTCCCAAATCCAAGTCCTGTCATGTTGAACCACTTCCAGCATTTTCACCCTAGATTTTTGCTTAAATTAATATATCTATACAATTGAAGTATTCTCTCTGCCCTCCCTAAGCTTCAACCAATGAAAATTCTCCCTTCCTCAGGACCCATCTCAACTGCTACCTCTCAGAAAGACTTCCCTAATCATCTTAGAGCTTCCTGAGTCCCTCAGTTGCTCGTCCTCTAAGAATGTGTATTCTTTCGGGGTGTGATGGCACATGCCTTTAATCCCAGCACTTGGGAGGCAGAGGCAGGAGACGCTCTGTAGACCAGCCTGGTCTACATAGTGAGTTCCAGGTCAGCCGGGGCTACAGGGAGACCCTGTCTCAAAAAGACCAAGAAAAGATGGGATGCCTCATTCCGTTTACCAACAAATAAAAGGATGTATACCCTTACAGATCTTATTTAAGTACTGAAGTATGACAGGTATGAGTACGACCCAAATTTGGTACACAAACTAACACATTTCCTTAGTTGTGAACACCAGTTATTTCACCATCTGATATGCTCCCCAGCTGGGATGATACAAGGTTCGGAGGGCCCTCCAGGGCTAAAACCTCTGAGCAGTGTGATTTTGTGGGTCCTTCAGTCTGGGACTCTCCATTTCATTGAACATCTGGACCGTGGCATGGACTCGCGTGGCAAGAGCCAGAGCCTGTCCCTTCCCACTGTCTGGGAAGGGAACGCAATCTAGCTGCCCCAGACTTCTCTCTGCCTCCCAGCTAGGTACTCCCAGGTCGTTTTCTCCGTCTCTTCACCCCTGAACCTCCGGGCTCTGCCTCTTCCCTCGAGCCCCCATCCTTCTATTCTTCGGCTACTAATTTTCTTGCTCACCAAACCTGAAGTTTAATTACTAACAGACTAGCACGTTCCTAAAAGGAAGGAAACATTTAAACCTCAAACTTTCCCCCCGGTGAGAATTATTTTCATTCAGAAGCCATTGGAAAGAAAAGGAAAGTGGGAACCATCCCATTTCCAAGTCCGCCAAAGCAAATGCTGGAGTAACAGGTGCGGGGTGGGGATTTCCGCGTCGCAGGCGCTGGGCTTAGCTCAGCTGTCACTCGCTAGCCCGCCGCGGGTCCGCACAGACGGACTACGAGTCCCAGGCTGCTTTGCGGCAGCGGCGGTGGGAGACGTGGCACAGTGTAGAGGCCGCACCGACCGGAAAGCCGGGGTCTGGTGGAGCGGAGGACCGGAGCAATGGCGGCCAGGGCGGCGGGCAGCGGGGGCTGGGAGGTGGTGAAGAAGGGCCGGCGACCTGGAGCAGGCGGCGGCGGGGACCGCCGAGCGCTCGGGGAGGCGAACGGAGTGTGGAAATACGACCTGAGCCGTGAGTACTCGCCGCCGACCACCCGGGCCTGCAGGGCAGGGGCGCGGCGAGCAGCTGCAGGAGCCCAGGGCGGAATCGCGGGCCCTTGGGCTGAGCGCCTGGCCACTCTGGCAGGCTGTGCCAGGGGAGGTGGCTGTCCTCACTGCACAGATGGGTACACTGAGGCCTAGGGAAGAGGACCCCTGACCCCAGGATCTGGAGTCAGGATTCCGAGATTCCGGTCTCCGTCATTTCAGGCCACTGCACACAACCTCCCAGCTGTCTAAGCCCTTCCTAGCCAGGTGTCTGCGTAACAGGCAGAGGCATTAGGAATCTTGCACCGAGGCCCTTTTTAAGTAACCAGCAGGTCTGAGAGGGATGAACGAAAGGCTCAGCGGTGGCCATGACCTGTCACACACTACCACCAGGAGTTAGTCTCGGTGGCACCTGTCACCTCAGTCTCCCGAAGCATAAAGAAAGCTTGCCACTTGTTGATTATAGTCCTCAGAACCAAAAGGAGTGGGGGTGGAAACAATGCTGGAAAAAGCCTGCCCTCCCCTGCCAGTAGCCAGCACCATTGAAGTCCACCCTCTGTCTCCAGTTCTCACCTGGCACCCACATGCTCTGATTTGTCTGATAACTCCTAAGAGCCAGGGCCTAGCCTGAGGTGACTGAAAGCTGCCACCTGGAGGGCTCCTTTGCTTTGCCTCTAAGCAGCCCCTAAGGAGGAAGGGGCTTGGGACAACTCCTCCCTGCAAATGAATTAGGTGCCCCTCCAGAGAAGGGACTGCTGCATTTGTGAGGGCCTTAATTGCAGCCTACGTTTTCCACCCATCTTCACACCAGCTCCAATCCAGACCACAAGCACCCTTTATGAGCGGGGCTTTGAGAAAATCATGAAGAAGCAGAATAAGGAACAAGTTCCACCCCCTGCTATGGAGCCTAAGAAACAAGTGAACAAGAAGCCACCAAAGAAGGTGGCAACTGTCACTAACCACAACCAGAGGCAAAGTCCCTTCCGCAGCCTGGAGGATGCTCTGAAAGCTGTGAGTGTGCCTAGGCTTGCCAGTGCAAAGAGGTTGGAGGGTTAGGGGATTCAGGACACTCACTTGAGAGGGGTTCAGGAAATGTCGAAGGGCAGAATTTTTGCGCTTAGAAAGGAAATGGGAAGCTTGTACAGAAACTTAGGTGAGAAGAAGGTATAGAAGACCCAGGAACAAGAAGGAGGCAATAGAAAAGCTGGTTATGGCTCTCTGTCCCACAGAAGCAGTGACTTTCATTTCTCATCTTTCTCTGTTTTCTCTTGAATGAGTGAAGGGTTGAGATCAGCATTCTCAACTGCCCTGCCCCATACTTTAAGATCTGATGCAGCAGAATTGTGACATTCCACAAGCTTAAGGACAGAGACCCCTCGTTCTTCCTACCACCACCTCCTTCAGCCACTCTCCCACCCTATCCTGTTTTCCTTCCCCTTATTCACAACTCATTGTAGAATGTGTCCCTGGCAGCTGGATGTGGCAGCTCTGCAGAAGGAACTGGACAAGAGTCAGAGTGTGTTCACTGGGAACCCTTCTGTGTGGCTGAAGGACCTGGCCAGCTATCTCAACTACAAGCTACAGGCTCCACGGAGTGAGCCCACTCTGAGCCAGCATCCACATGGTTAGTCTCCTAAACCCTCAGATAAAGCGAAAATTGTAAAAGGGCTGCTGCATGTTCCTAATAGGCCAGTGCTTCTACTGTCCTGCTTTAGACATAGGCTGGGCCTCCTTGGGAAAGGGGGCATGGGATACCAGCCTCCATGTAAGGGCATCTGGTCCTTGTACTTACACAGAGGCCAATGGCCCCAGATTATCCCTACAGCCTGGTGAGCCATGAACTTCGTGGGACCATTCGAGGGCTTCTGATCAAGGCAGCAGGATCTGTGGAACTCTTTTTTGACCACTGTCTGTTTACCATGCTGCAAGAGTTGGATAAGACACCAGGTGAGAGGGGCCCTCAAGGGATAGCTCTCTTGGGAGCCCCACTCCTTTTTTCCTGCTTTGGACAGGGCCATCAACTCTCTTTCTAACCTAGAAATTTCTAATCTTGACATTCTTTTTGGAAAGGGAGGAGGAGGTGGTTAGGACTTCGGCTCATAGCTGCAAAAATAAAAAGGAGATTTCAAATGTGGAATGCTAAATCTTGAGTCTAAGAGCATGTGTCTTTCCAGGGGAGTCGCTACATGGATACCGCATCTGTATTCAGGCCATTCTGCAAGACAGGCCCAAGATTGTCACCTCAAACCTGGGCAAGGTGAGCCCCAGGTGGTGCTGGGGACACCAGGCCTAGGACTAGAGAAACTGGCCAGAATCTACATCGTTGAACTTGGTTGTGGGGAGGAATAATGCATGTTAGTACTTACCATGTGTCTGCTTTAGATAAGGTTAACCCGTGTGCCTATTGTATCAATGGAAAGACTGGGTCATTGAGGGATTCAGGAGCTTTCCTGTAGTTGCTCAGCCAGTACAAGGAAAGTGTGGGTGAAGCCAGTGTTTGAGTCACTGCTTCACACTGCCATAGAGCTCCACTGTCTTGGCACCTCTCCTCTCCTGTGTTCTGACCTATGACCTACCCGTCCCACCCATCTCCTTAGTTCCTGGAACTGCTGAGGTCCCACCAGAGCCGACCAGCAAAGTGCCTGACCATCATGTGGGCCCTGGGGCAAGCAGGTTTTGCCAACCTCACCGAGGGACTGAAAGGTAACAAGTGGGACAGGCAGAGATGGTCTCCTCTCTGATGGCTCCTGTGCATAATGAGACTTCCTCCCTGACCTTTGTCTCTGCAGTGTGGCTGGGGATCATGCTGCCTGTGCTGGGCATCAAGTCTCTGTCTCCCTTTGCCATCGCATACTTGGACAGGCTGCTCCTGTGAGTAATGGGGGGACAGCGAGGGGAAGGCCCAGGGTGTCCACAAGAGGCTGTTTCGGCAAAATGGGATGCCGTGATCCTGGTCTCCATAGATGCGAGGAAAATCAGGACCAGCTCCTCCCACCTCCAAGTGTGATGGTGAGGAAGGAAAGGGAGGGAGCCATTAAGGGTTGGGGGATGTGGTATCATTTATGCCCTTTACCCTATACATTTGGCTTAGCTGAGTTCATGGCTGAAATACTAGTCATGGATAGGGTTTCCAACAAGCCTGCTTCTTCTTTCCCCCAGGATGCATCCCAATCTCACCAAGGGCTTTGGCATGATTGGGCCCAAGGACTTCTTCCCACTTCTAGACTTTGCTTATATGCCCAACAACTCCCTGACCCCCAGGTAGGACTATGCTGGAGCATGCATACTGGGGAGAGATCTGAGTACGAAGTCAAGCCCCAGAAGCATATTCCCATCCCTTCTTTCCCAGCAGCCCTAGATCTGAGATTCACAACCTAAAAATTCAACAGTAGGTTCCAAGGGGGTCCATGAGGCCCAGAAATCATATATATCCTTGAGTGTGACTGGCATGTGGACATTTTTTAGGGAGATTGCCTTTGGTTTTTAACAGATTTTGCAAGGACCTTCTGTGTAAAAAGACTCAGAGCCATCCCAAGTCCCTTGTGACACTCCCTTCAGGCAAGGGATGGGCTCAAGTGTCATAGCTCCATTTACAGCCAGAGCCTGACCCTCCTCCCCAAGCCTGCAGGAACAGCTGTGTCAGTTCTTCCCCCGACTGAAGGTGCTGGCCTTTGGGGCGAAGCCAGAATCTACCCTACATACCTACTTCCCTTCATTCCTGTCAAGAGCCACCCCTAGCTGTCCTGCTGAGATGAAGAAAGAGGTGAGGAACTTTTCCTTGCCCAGGGGCAGCTGCAGTAAGCCCTGTCTATTGGCCAGGGCTTCTCAGAGCCCGGTTCTCAAGCATTCACACAGCTTACTCCCTCAGCCACCTGCCCCATTCACTCATGCTCTACCCTAGGAATATGAGCTTGGATGGATAGCACACTGGGCCTCAGGGGTATGCAAATGGTCTCTGGTGCCCTGTCCTTCAGACAGAAGATCTTTGAGCTCAAACTGTAGCTCATGATCCTGCCTCCCCGATGACAGCTCCTCAGATCTTAGGAGTCTTGACATTATTTCTCACCCCTCAGAGTAGATCTGTTACCCAGTGGCCTCAGCACCCTCTCCTGCACCAGCCTGAGGCCCCAGCAATCTCTCCCTTCTGTCCTATGCAGCTCCTGGGCAGCCTGACCCAGTGCCTGACTGTGGATCCTCTCAGCACCAGCGTCTGGAGGCAGCTGTACCCCAAGCACCTATCACAGTCCAGGCAGGTGGGGGTGGGGTCACCTGCTCTATTCCACATAGAGAAGCCTCCTAGTTCATGCTTCCCAGCCCATCCCTGTACCAGAAGTAGAAGGGGAACACTGGTCACTTTTCTGCAGTCTCACACCTCTCAGTTTCATTGGGAACATGGTGGGGGTGGCCTTTAAAGAGCTCCTCCTGTGGGAGGGGTCTTTCAGCTCTAAGAAACCAGGGTCTTGTGTAGGATGAGAGGGTGAGAGGGCCCCGTGGGCCGCCTGATTGGAAAGATTATGCTTTTCCACAGCCTCCTACTGGAGCACCTGCTCAGGTCCTGGGAGCGGATTCCCAAGAAGGTGAGAAGCTGGAAGGATGTGGTAGTATGTGTCTTGTCTGTGTTCTTAGTTTGTGCCTCTCTGCCACTGCTCTCCCTGTCCTATGCACCTGGAGTATAAAGCAAGATTGAGGCACAGGATCCTCTCACAGGCCAGAGTTCACATTTTCAACTCAGCTCTTGGTATTCTATAGGTGCAGAAGTCTTTGCAAGAAACCATTCAGTCCTTCAAGCTTGCCAACCAGGAGCTGCTAAAGAAGGGCAGTGGTAGCAACGAGCATGTTGTCACCTGTGACACAGCCTGCAAGGTGTGGCACCCAACCTCTCCAACCCACACATGGTCCTCCACCTGTCTCGACACACTCTGGGTTGGGCTAGATCACATCCCAGCCCACCTTTCTGTGGAGCCCCCACTACCTCAGGCTGATGAATAAGCCTAACTTAGGGCTCTTCCTCTAGGAAACAAGGGCCAGTTCTTCTCCTACTGACCACTGCCTTCTCTTCCTCTCTCCTGCCAGGGCTTGTTGCAACAGGCTCGGGGCCCTCAGCCACCCTGGACCCGGCTACTCCTGTTACTGCTGGTCTTTTCCATGGGTTTCCTATGCCATGACTTCCAATCGCACAGCTCTTTCCAGGGTAAGCAGTGATTGGCAACCTGGGAAGAGGTTGGCAACCTGGTAGAGCACAAAGCTTAGTGTGGCATCCCTGACAGATCCTCCCACCCTCATGAGCTCTCAGTGCCACAGAACACACACTTTTCAGGTCATATTTTCTGTCCACAGACAATGACCTTACTATTAGGTTGGACTGATACTTTTTAGAATAGAAATGGTTATGTATTTATATCATCTGGGTATGTATTGTCTCCTTTTAACTCTTGAGCAAACAGAAGCAGAAAGGTTTAGCTGTTGACTCCTAGCTTAATACCATAGCTAGTAGGGCCAGTGACATGACTCAGTGGATAAATGTACTTGCTGCCAAGCCTGATGACCTAGGACACACATGGTAGAAGGAGAGAACCATTTATTTCCCAAAAGTTGTCCTCTAACCTCCACACACAGTGCCATGACACATGTATGCCAGTACACAGTACACACGGAATAAATGCAGTACTCATTTTTAGAAGATCATAACTAGTAAAAGGGTAGACACTCATGCCTGAGGTTTCCTGACCCCTAAGCCCAAGACTCCACCTGATGCCCTTGTTCTTCCTCACTTGGCCCAACAGAATGTGCTCAGCCTCTCAGACCTGCAAATCTCCCTCCAAACCTGTCTAGTTAGACCTGAGAGCACATGAAACTACCCACTGCCTTACTGTCCCTGCCCAGGCACCTGGAATGTTTGTCTTCCAAGTCCCTGCTCCTTCACCTCCTAGCTCACTAGAGGCCCCCTTTACAGCCTCCCTCACTGGCCAGTTGCTTCAATCGTCTGGTTTCTTGCCTGCTGGCCAGCAAGTGTGTGCCAAGCTCTACTCCTACAGTCTGCAAAGCTACAAGTGAGCTGCCAGGGAGGGCAGGGTGTGAGGGAAAGCCTGGGGTTCAGGGTGGTGCTGGTGGCCAGGGTGGACCTTGACAGTGGGAAGTATTTGTAGTATTCCATTATTCTTTGGTGGGCACATTGGCCTGAGGAAGTTCAGAATAGTACTCTTCCCTCCAACTTCTCCACAGCTGGCTAGAGGAGACATTGCCGGCCTGCAGTTCTCACTTGCTTACCATGGTACAGCCCGGCTTGCAGCTGGCGTGGGCCCACACCAATGCCACAATCAGCTTCCTTTCTGCTCACTGTGCTTCCTACCTTGCCTGGTTTGGTGACAGCCTCACTAGCTTCTTGCAGAGGGTAAGCTGGAGACAAGGAGTCAGAAGGGCCCATCCTCCCAGGGACAGACTTTTGGGGAAGAAACTGCCCTGTGTGGGTGGAATCCTTAAGACCTAGGGGCACTGCCCTGGGCACTTTGTCCCAGTCACTCTCCATTGTTCCACTGCAGGTCCAGCTTCCTGATGCCCTGCACCAGCTGCTGCACTCCTTGAAGGAGCTGTTACTGCTCTTCCACCAGAGTGTGCTGCTGCCCATGTGGCACCTGCTGCTTGTGGCCCTGGCCCGGGCCCAAGAGTACTGTCATGAGGCCTGCAGGTGAGACCTTCACCCCAGGCTCTACAGGTCCCCTAGTGATTCCAATCCCAATCTGTGGTGACAAGACTGTATCATTCCTTCTGTCCCATTTAGCCACTCTGGGATGAGGGATGTGGTTCTAAGCTGCAGCTTTGTGTCGACACAACTGCACATATGCTCCCCCAACCCCAAAACATTCTGCTTTTCTCACAGAGGGGAAGTGACCTGGGACTGCGTTAAGACACAGTTTGGTGAGGCTGCCCGCTGGACCTGGCTCTGTCTACAGGACATCACAGTGGCTTTCTTGGACTGGGTACTCACTATGATATCCCAGCAATAGGTCCTGCTTGCCTGGCCACTGGCTTCTGTTATGGCAAGCCATCTGAGACTGCTGGAGGGTAGAGATGGCAGCTCTGTTTTTACTTGGTGCCAAAGTTCCATCTCGTAGGCAACAAGCTAGTTGCCTCTGCCCCAGATCTTCCATCTTTCGGGGGACGGGGCCAGAGGTCTCTCAGCTTCCTGCCTCCAGGTCTGCTGGGCACCTCAGGTCCAACTGCACAGCTGCCAGCTTCCTTTGGGCTGGTAGCCTCCTCACCACTTCCCTCCATCTCATCCCTAAAACCCTTCTATTTCCCTCCATCTCATCCCTAAAGCCCCCAACAGCTCATTTCCAAAAAGAAGGGCCTTCCAGTGAGGTTAGTAGCTTTTTCCCATTCCTGATCATAACTTAAGAGTTGCAGAAGAGTCCAGTACCACAGTTTGTGGCAGCAGCATCACTTCTCTCAGCCTCAGTGTGACCCTCAGTAGACATGTAGGCCTCATGGAAATGCCTGTTACCTCAGAATACCACAACTACCGAATCTTCTGAGACCACTTGGACCTAGCTCCATCCATCAGAGTCCTGTTGGGACTTCATGCTGGGAGTTCTGCCTCACAGTTCAGCACCTCTGTCCATGCCACTGTCCACTCGGACAGCAGAGCCCTTCCGTCAGCCTGTTGAGAGGAGTCACCGAAGAGCTCCTGGGTGCACCTAGCAGGTGGAATAAAGATCACAGATTGGGCTTCTAGCTTTCCTTTCTGCATCCTTATATGGAATTCCCATTGTTACAGGACAGAACAGCAGAATTTTGGGCCTCGGCCCTGAGTATTGCAGCTATGATTTTCTAGCAAGGAAAGCCATATCTGTCATGCAAAACTAGGCTCCCCTTTTGCTCCATTAATCTTGTCTGACTTGTTACCGATTCCTGTCCCAAGATTCACCCCTATGTGATTGGAAAAGCAGGGCCAAAGCTGAATGGTCTCCCAGTCTTTTACTTCCTAGGACTTTAATTTATTAATTGATCCTTTTATTAAATCAGTGAGTGAAAGATTTGGAACTCTGAGGTGAAACCAGGGTTTATCACCAAAGTCTTTTCATTTTGGTTTGAGACAAGTCCTAACTGCCATTTCACCTTTCACCTTAAGTCTCCCCCTCTCCCCCATTGTCTCAGATCAAGCTGTGATCCCTGCAGGGTGCTTTGTTTCTCTCAGAAGCACTGCAGGGCCTACAGGGCTGGCAGCTACTTACTATAGTTCCTCTCATGATATCTGGAGATGTCCTCTGTCCTTCCTGAGTGAGATTAAAGTAGCAAGTTTGGAAACATCTTGACCGCATGTGATCACAACAGTGTTTGCTTTTGCTACTCTTTATCTTAGGAAGTAAACAGCCACATCAGGCAGCCCTTTTCTGGCCTAGTGGCAGCTACCTGTGACTGTACCTATGACTACCCAAAGAGAAACCCTGCCTGGCCAAGGGCTAGTGTGTAGGTCTGTTAGGCCAGACTGTCCAAGAGTCCCAATGGCATGTTCTTTCTTCAGTTCTTGCCAGTGAGCCTCAGACAGCTTAACCCTCCCTAAGAATAGTGGATCCTTGGAGAGAGAACTTTGGAAAGCCTGAGGGAACCACAGCACAGGACAAGATACTGTTCTTTCTCAAGATGTCTCAAGGATGCTAAGCCAGATATTTTGGATCCAACAACTATGGGAGTCAGTACTGTTGTGCTGGCTCTGATGTGTGTAGAGACTACTTGGGTTCATGGTTTCTGATGTTCTAATGCTTGAGTGCATACTTTTCTTCAACCACTTAGGTTAGTTAGCATCTGTACAGCCTCTCCTGGGGACACCAACCTTACTTGGTTCCATAAGCCCATTTTTAAAAAGTGACTCCTTTTCTAAAGGTTTTTTAACCCCAAATTGGGATTATACAGTTTTTTCCTGTCGTTGGTCCAACACTGCACCTGCTCGCCATTAAAGCAAAGCTAGACATCCAGACGTTTTGTTTTTTCCCAGCTGTCAACAAATTGGAGTCCAAGCCACGCTAGTAAATTAAATCAATGTGAACCCCAGACTGTATTCCGCAGTGCTGACAGGCCAGGCAGTCACATACCACTGAGAACAGCACCAGTCCTTGGAACACAGAACTTGCCACCTCAGTCACATCTCGATGTTACTGAAGTTGGATAGATGCTTAAAGCCAAAAGGCAGTTTGAGAATGGCTTGCACATACATGACTCATTTCTAAACACTTTGTTTTTCTATTGTGTCTCAAAAGTTTCTACCTTCCTTTGGTATTTAGTTCCTAACCCTCAGCTTCATTTTTAGAGCAGGAGGACCTGGTGACTGTCTGACTTACTATGAACAGATAATGCTAAAACATCATTGGTCTAGTCTCAAAATGCCCCACCATAGTACGGTTTGCTTCCCACAGTGATCAGCATAGTGCCCATTCCAGAATATTCCAGTTCCCTACCATGCAGATGTTCCCAATGTTGGGTGGCTTCTGAGTGTTTTGTCATCTCCTAGATGCTTAAAGTGATCCATCCTTTTACTATAAAAGCTCACAGTTGTGCTCCTGAAGGGACTGAGGGTACAGTGGGAGTGGACGTTTCCCTGTGGGGCACTCGATTTATATTGGGCACTTTTGTTACTCTGGATTTGAATCTGGGAAGATGGATGTGATGATGCATGTCTGCAATCCCAGTACTTGAGAGGCAGAGGCAGGAATATGGTGAGTTCAGTCCAGCGTACATACACACACACACACTTTTAGTAAAGCTATAAGGCCAGGCATGGTGGCGCATGCCTTTAATTCCAGCGCATGCCTTTAATTCCCAGAGGCAGAGGCAGGTGGATCTCTGTGAGTTCGAGTCCAGCTTGGTCTACATAGCAAGTTCCAGGCCAGCTGGGGGCTTCAAGGAGACCCTATCTCAAAAAGACAAAAAAAAAACAAAAAACACAAGTATTCTAATGTGTTGTTCAATGATTGTTGGTACAATTTTTCACTATGTTAGCACACCAGTCATTAATTTTTAATAGACTATTTTTAGGGCTGTTTCAAGTTCATATCAAAATTGAATAAAAGTTGAAGGCCTTCCCACACCCCACTGCACACACAGCCTCCCCACCACCAATGTCTTACATCAATGTGAGACTTGAACATGTTATAATCTGACCCTACATTGACTTCTAGTTATCACTCAAGATCTGTAGCTTACATCAGTGCTCACTGTTACACATTCAGCAAAAAGTGCCTAATAGCCTGGGAAGATGGCTCAGCGGTTAAGAACACATACTGTTCCTATAGAGGATACAAGTTTGGTTCCTAGCACCCATGTTGAACAATTCACAACCACCCATAACTCCAGCTCCAAGGGGACCTGGAGTCTTTGGCCTTTGCAGGCATCTACACTAATGTGCACATATCCATCCACAAATACACAACTAAAAATCTTTTAAGCCATGTGTGGTGGCGCACACCTTTAGTCCCAGCACTGGAGAGGCAGAGGCAAGCAGATCTCTGTGAGTTTGAGGCCAACCTACCTAGCTGGGGTTACAGGGAAACCCTGTCTCAAATAAATGCCTAGGCTCTCCTCCACTCCTCCCCCAGAGTCCCTGGCAGCTACTGGTCTTTAGTCTGCAGAATTTTGCCCTTTCCTGCATGGCTATGGCACTAGTTACTGCACATATTTTAAATTATAATCTACCACAGAGAAAGCTTTCAGTTCCTGAACATGAGAGCTGAAGGAAATTCAGACGAGGTGGAGTCTAACTCTTGCCTTTTAAGTAGCAGTAGCTACCCAGAACTTACAAGCTCAGGAAACCAAACTGGACAACACTGAAAGGCCATTGCAGTGAGCAGTTTCTACTACATTTGCCATGTCCCTATTAAACCATGTATTCCAATATTCCCAAACCATAGCCAATTCTCTTGGTAGCTTGGCTCTGTCTCTGCACAATCCTGGGGGACTGTCTTCATAATTTTTTTTTTTTTTAACCTAGGGGCAGGATGCCTCCGTGAAAGCCTATCAGGAATTAAAAGTGACCTAGAGATGTCTTGAACTACAAGAAGCAAAGCAATCTTGATGGTTTTGAGTGTGGCTGCATTGAGATTGAAGCTACAGGAGAAAGTAGTGTTTAGTCTTCACATTTAGATGTCACAGAATATCACTGTCCCAATCAAGGGTCAGTGGAAGAAAAGGGTACTGTCCACACAAGTTAGGGTGGGAGAAAGGCCAAGGCTAATAAATTCCCAGTGTGATGGTGGTGTGGAGTTTCTGAAGTCAGTGGGAAGTTTCTTTCCATAGTTCCCTGGGTACCTGAATAGCAGACCATTTATTTAACTGAAATCTGCCCCCCCCCCCCGCCCAAGCCAAATCAGGGCCACCAGGTCACTGACTGGAGAAATCCTCATTGAAGCTAAGCTACTAGGACTGTAAAAAGTGCTGAACTGGGGCTGGAGAGATGGCTCAAGGGTTAAGAACATTGACAGTTCTTGCAGAAGACCCAGGTTCAAATCCCAGCACCCACGTGACAGCTAACAACTGTCTGTAACTCCAGTTCCAGGGAATCTGATAGTCTCTTCTGTTCTCGAGCATTGCACCACATGGGTGCACTTACGTACATGCAGGCAATACACTCATACACATAAAAATAATAAAATATTTTTTTAAAGTGCTGAACTGGGGCTAGAGAGATGGCTCAGCAGTTAAGAGCACTGACTGCTCTTGTAGAAGACCCGGGATCGATTCCCAACACCCACATGGCGGCTATGAACCCTCCTTAACTCCAGTTCCAGGGGAATCTGAAGCATTCTTCTGACCTCCTTGGCATTGTACAACATGGGTGCACTCACATACATGAAGGCAATATACTCCATACACATAAAATAAAAATATAAATAAAAGTTTTTTTTTTAAGTGCTGAACTTGGTTGGGCCTGCTACAACTATCATTAAATGTAAAGAGCCAGATATGAGGCACACCTGTAAATACCAGCACTTAGGAGGTGGAGGCAGGAAAATCAGAGGTCAAGGTCATCTTCAGTCACATAGCTAGTTTGAAGTCAGTCTGGTCTACATGAGACCCTGTTTCAAACAAAACGAAACAAAAAACCAGAAAGAAAAACCTAACCAAAAAAGAGTGAGCATTCTAACCTATCAGTTCTGAAAGTGGTCAAGTGGACTCTAGAGATCCTCCAGATCCTTCTGGGGATTCTAAGAATTCAAAATTGTCCTTGTAATAGTACTAAGATGCCGTTTGTCTTTGTTACTGGGTAGACGTGCACTGTTGGGACTAAATACAAATAAAGTTGCTATATCAGTGTGAATCAAGGCAGCATCACCCAGCACACTCGTCCCCACCACATTCTTCACTTTCATGTGTTCACATTATTTCTAAAAAGTCAATTTCACTTAATAATGTCCTTGATAGAAGGGGAATGGTCTGTGATGTAGATGGGGCCATGGCAGTGACTGCAGTTCATGAGCTTCTTGGAATAGGCAGGTCGCAAAGCTTTTGAGAGAAGACTTGCCAAGGTCAGCCTGGTCTACATTGCTTGCAGCCTGCTACCAGATGTTTGAGAAACAGAACGAATATTGAAAGCTAGGCCTCAAGTTCGGTGACAATCTTGCACTAATTGTTAGGGGACCCAAAACAGTCTTTCTTCAAATAAGTGATAAAAGCAAAAAGCCATAAAGAATTCCTTTTCGAGTTTGGCTATGTGACAATTACAGCAACGACAAGAACTATGCAGTATTCACCAAGATTAGCTCTTTTTTTTAGATTAATTTTATGTGTGTGTATGTATGTGTATACCATGTGTGTGCAGGTGCCTGAGGAGGCCAGGAGAGGATGTCAGATCCTCTGGAGCTAGAGTTGCAGGTAGTTGTGAGCTGCCTGACATGGGTGCTGGGAACTGAATTGGGCTCTCTGCAAGAGGAGTTTCATCGCTCAGCCATCTATCCAGCTCCTGGATTACATAATTTTTGTTATATAATTATTCATAGTATTTATTTTCTTTTAATCCTTATCTCTCTAAAATTGGTATTAATACTCTCACA